GGGGGGGGGGGGGGGGGGGGTCAACAACACGCGAGGGTCTGCCCATGCGGGCGTTCAGCAAAGGACCAGCAGGAACACGCAAACTAGACAAGGGCAGAACCCCTAAATACGAAGCCGCGGGCAGAAGGGGATTGGGAGTTGATGTACACAGGGTGACTGTCACAGTAACTCTGTTCTCTGCTATTCTGTCTGTCTTCTATTTTGCACAAAACTGGCTTCATGCTATTGAGGGATATAACTCTAAAGCTCGACGGCTCTTTATAATGGCTTCTGTAGCAGCCTGATCCAGCTGGGTAGAGAACCCGACACGTGCGCTGCGTGACTTTGCATCTTCAAGCCCATTCAATTGTGAATCTGGGAGGACAAGTAATGAAAGATTGGTTGTGATCTGTGACGTATACAGGCTGCCATGGTAGAAGCGCAGAAATAGGCAAGACGCGATTTATCAAATGGCCCAGTTGTCCGTATAGATGAGGTCCCACCCCCTTCCATTGTATAGACTGCTTGCAAATACTTCAGCGCGCCAAACCTGCACACTTCGGACCGATTAGTGTTTTATCGACATACAAACTATTTGGCCCGTGACCACCACCACCACCACCACCACCACCACCACCACCACCACCACCACCACCACCACCACCACCACCACCACTACTGCCGCTGCTGCTGCTTTTACTACTACTACTACTACTACTACTACTACTACTACTACTACTACTACTACTACTACTACTACTACTACTACTACTACTACTACTACTACTACTACTACTACTACTACTACTACTACTACTACTACTACTACTACTACTTCTACTACTACTACTACTACTAATACTACTACTACTACTACTACTACTACTACTGCTATTGCTACTACTAATACTGCCACCACTACCACCACCAGTGTTTGATGAGGCAAGGCGGCCCGTTTGCGCTTGCCACATACGACCTGGTCCCCGCTGCACGTGTCGGGCTGTCGTCGCAACCCCCCAGCACCACCATCGCCGCGCCCTCCGGCAATATCACTGTAATTACCAAGAGCAGCAAAGTTCTTACCACCGCTCCGGCAAAGAAGCATCTACTTCACGTTCCCGTCGCAATCGTCCCTCTCCACCGTTTTTCTACGCTTGCTAATCACCATGCTCACTCCCATCTTCAAGCCCTCACTCGTCTAACGCTGTTTTCGTGTTTACGCCCAGGTCTGAATCTATTTGGTCCTACGTACAGTGGACTGGAGTACGACTACCGCGGTCTCCAGCGGGTGTACCGCAAGCTGGGTGAGACAGCCAAACTTCAGCACTACCAAACTCTGTTTGATGAGTGGCACATGCAGCGCCAAAGTCTTCGCTTTTTGGAGCCCACAGAGAACGAGCCGATCGAACCCAGCTTCCGCTCCGCCAACACTGAGGTAGAACAGCGGCTGACGCCGACGTCGGAGGAGAACGACGAGGAGGAGGAGGGGTCGGCACTCGCCCAGCTGTTGGACGAGTACCGCCTGGAGTTTGGCCCTACCTTTGGACAGTCCGCTACTGCTCCGGGTTCCTCCAAGGTTGAACCCTCCTCCGATTCTTCTCCGGCCTCGCCCGGTCGAAGTGTCAGCCCTGCGCCGGGCGGTGAAAACAGCCGTTCAACTGGCTACTGATCCTCCTACCTACCCCCCTCCCCCCTACCCTGTTGTTACTTCGCCCTTTGAACTCCCATCGCCTCAGATATCAACCAGTAATTTACCCCCCCCCGTCCCTCCCCAGCTCTGTACATGT